GCCGTCATTGTTGTTTGGTGGGTCCGGGCTGGGGATTCAAACCCGCCACCTTAGGTGTACGTGGCTGGCGCCTTAGCCGGTCGAGCTATAGGCGCCGAGCCAAGAGCAGAGTTTTCAAGCAGCCGTCCAGCCACTGCCTGGCGTCTTACTTTTTTCCTGCACGTACAGGTAGCCTTCTGCTGTAAACTGGCTCGCTCGTTTGTGCTCCTTGGGATTCTGTCTGATTTTGTTCATGAGCTCTTCCACTTCTGACCTGGTTCCTTCAAATCGATTCCGTGTCTGAAATGGATTGTTAAAAAACCGACATAAATTTTAAGTTCTCATATGAGTTCTCTCATGTAGATCTTAACGTCTTTGGAAACAATAGCTAAATTTCAACTACAGACTATTCTATAAATTTCTCAAAATATCTCCATTCTTTCTAGTGTATCTCTAGTATGTGGAGATTCCTGTTCAAAGGAAAAAAAAGAGTGGCAAAATAGCTAATAGAGGAGGAAAAGCCAAAGAAATCACAGGCTACTTGTTTTTGAAGATTTCTAACACCACAAATAATTCTATTTATTCACCATAAAAATGCCTGACTTCCGGTCTCCCACTATTACAGGGCCGGGCACAGTGGCTCATGCCTGTAATCCTAGCACTGGGGAAGCAAAGGCAAGTAGATTGTCTGAGCTCACAGGTTCAAGACCAGCCTGAGCCAGAGCCAGACCTTGTTTCTAAAAATAGCTGGGCATTGTGGCAGCAGCCTGTAGTCCCAACTACTTGGCAGGCTGAGGCAAGAGAATCACTTAAGCCCAGGAGTTGGAGGTTGCTGTGAGCTATGACACCACAGCGCTCTACCAAGGGGTGACAAAGTGAGACTCTGTCTCAAAAAAAAAAAAAAAAAATAGGTCATAAAATGCGTACCTGGGAAGTAGTTCCTTTGCAACAACCAATCGGACTCTAGTTGTTACTACTGAACTAGCAATCTGCTAAGTACTCAGGATCTGAATAAACTTAATTCTTCTTTGCAAACTAATAAATATGAGTGCCTGTTTTTATAGATCACAGAAATCATTCTTGAACATGACATTTCTTCCCTCAAGAAAGAAGGAGGGAAAAAACTCAGCCACAAATAATGTCTCTGATATCTGAAAAGATGAATCACATTTCTGAAATCCAGGACACTTGGTAGGCCAATATCTGTCAAACGGCCACACCACAAACACACGTGCACAGAGAAGTGACAAGATTACCAGGGCAACTGTGATGAGTCAGCATCACCCAGGTCCCGGACACTTCTTTCATCCTCACTCAGAAATAATTGTGTTAATACTAAGAAACTGCTGATGTGAAACTATGAGGAGCTGAGGTAGGAAATTACCACTAAAATGTCGCATCTCTCCTCTGTACAAGAAAAGGGGTTATCAAAGGTCCTAAATGCAGAAAAATGATTGAATGGTACATTTTTTTTCCAGTGGTATGGAGAGTCTGATACAGATTATAAAAGGCAAAATCTATATGCAGAGGTTTATGTCAAATACAAACTATAGCTAAAAAATAAATAACCTGCTTATGTGCTTTAAGCAAAGAGAAAACTCATCAGTCAACGGCGAGTTCCCTCTCTTCTTCCCACCTCTCCTGTCTCTAGGGTTTCGGGTCCATCTTTAGACTGATCTCACCCTGATTTCATTCCCTTGCTTTTGTCAGTCTGCTACGGTTCCTTCCACCCTCACTTCCCGCGGATGTATTATATATACGTACACCCGTGGGTGGCATCATATAGACTCGTGTGCGTTTAGAGATGCCAGCACATGCACACAAACTCTCACTTCCACAAAAGCCAATGAGTTGTACCCAATAATCCCATTACTCATGTTAATGCTCAGATGGTCCTGGATGTAAGCTGAAGCCCCTTCAGGATGGTTTCTGTGTCTTTTGAGCTGTCGCCTTAATTCTTTGAGCAATTTCTCTCTTTCTGGTCTAATAGCAGACCCCAGGTTCTTCTTACTTCTCTTCTCCTAATCCTGGAACCAGCCATTTCTCCAAAGGAGCTTTTGCTGCTTTTAGTGGATGGTGTTATTGAGAAACCCAACTGCAGGCACCATGCATTCACAGCTCAGGGGTGTCACTGCATCCTTTTCCAGATATGAGAACTTCTGGCTCCCATTAACACATCCGTTCAATGTAACCAATCTCCCAATCCCACCCCACCCCCAGAAGCCTATCCCTCCTGCCTTCTCTGTGCTCCCCAACACCCCATCTTCCCCGTGGCAGACACCTCCAGGAAGTACTTCTGGCCTCACTGCCCTACTTCCCCAGAGGCTTATGTCCCTGCCTAAGGGAAGGGAAAGGCTGAGCTATTTTTATTTTTAATATTCCATTTTTAAGATAAATTATGAATTGAGGTAAAAGTTTTTTTGTTTTTTTTGTTTTTTGGTTTTTTTGCAGTTTTTGGCTGGGGCTGGGTTTGAACAGCTGCAGGCACCAACCAGAAGTTACATTTTTTTCATTTGAACACTCATCAGTAGAATAGCTAGAACCTACCAATTCCGATTCTACCTTCCAGGTAACTTCCAGGCCAGACTGTAAATGTTAGAGCAGGTGTGCCCGGCATTACTGAAGACACCTTCTGATTCCTTAATTCTCACCATAACCCGTGCAGCAGGTCACTACCTGACACTCTCCAGGGCCAATAAAAGACCACGACTGTCTTGTCTTCCCGCCTTTCCTTACCAACCATCCTTAAATTAAGCCTTATAATTTTATTTTCAAACTGGCTGGAAGAGAACCTATCTTTTCAGAAGTTTCCTTCAGAGTATAAAAGCTAATCCCCATCATTGTAAAACCGAGGAGGACACAAACAGTCCTAGTGGAGGGAGGAAGAAAAGACACAAATCAGAAAGAAGGAAGCATAATCCCACCTTCAGAAAAACGACTGTCATATTTTGATGTGATCGATCTTTAGGTAAAAAAAAAAAAAAAGTTTATAATTTTGGTATTCTATTTTCCTCACAGCACGGTAATGAAAACATTTTGCCCGTGTTTTTAAACACTTCTTAGACATTCTTCATCACTTCCAGGAACTCTTCATGAATCCTGAAATTTCTCATGTTATATTTCCTTCTAGGAAGAATTCTATTCTACTCTCCCCACATTCTTCCCAGGACAGGCATCCCAAAAGGCGAAAATTAGTTCCTTAAAATATTCTTTAATTTTGATGCAATTTCCATTCTTATGGAAGGTCTATTTTCTAAAAGCCATCTCGCTACTTTCTTGCTTTCCACTTATTACTCTAGATTATAGAAAATGGATGAAGACCGAATCTCTCAAAGAAAAAATTCTAGCCATTTTTACAATAGAATAGGTATAATCAGATGGAAAGTTTGTTTTCACTTGTAAATAACTTTTATCTTTTTTTCTGATTATAAAGTAGTTTTACTATTTTTTTACTATAATATGAAAAAGTTGATCATTGTAACATTATAATGATAATTATAACATTATCTATAATGTTATAAAACAAGGATAGTTAACGCTTAAGATTTGGTTGGAACGTTTGAATATATTTTCTTAAACGCCAAAGTAACAGCACAAAAAACATAACTGGAACTTTTCTTTCAACAACATGAAAAATATTTTAGCCTGCATTTTCCCCTTATTATCATAAAAACTGATATCATCAGGAAATGAGATGAATGGCCAAACAATGAGTATAATTCAGCATCAGTGAACGACAATGGATGAGAGAATGATGGACATGTTCACAGATGCCAGTATCTCAGAAGACAGAAGAATCAGCTAAGAGCAAAAATGAAAAGCAAAGATGAAACCAAGACCCGGCGTTGTGAGTACTGAAGGTGAGACCGAGAGAAAGAACAGACTCTACTGCCCAGGGCTTTGGGAATTACCTCAGAAACAGCCAGAAGAAAAACAAGAGAGGAATATTTAGGGAACAGGTACAGGATTTAGGGCAATTTACTGCCGACCTTTAAGCTCCAGAGGAAACAAAAAAAAAGGGGGGGTTATTATTTTGGTATTCTATTTTCCTCACAACACTATAAAAAAAAAAGTTGGTTTTTTTTTTTTAGTCAACTGTTGTTTGCCCGCTTCTCTACAGAATGCTGTTGTCATGAATTCTCTAAGTTCTCAAGGTATTAAGGATATTAACCAGCTGATTTTGTGAACCATTTCAAATGACAGCCTACCTTTGTGTTTTGCTCTAAGATTTCAAGATGGAGTACTGCTCATCCCTATCTAAATAGTTCATCTTTCTGAAATTGTTTTGCTTTATGTAAGGTAACTAAATCCCCTCTTCCCCTCAGGTGCATTATAAATTTGCCATAAGCAAATCTGTGTAGGGACAGTTTTGTTGAGGGTCCCAGAGACTCTGATGTTCCCACACCTCACCTCCAGCTGAAGCCAGGCTGGCCGCAGGGGCACATGGAGTGCACGGCCACACAGAGCTCAGTGCTCACAAGTCTCCTGCTTAGCTTAATGCTGTACTGTCTTAAAACTCTTCATTATTTTTAGAGTAAGGGGCTACACAAACACTCCTTCTTCAAGGTTCTCATCCAGGCCTGGCCTGCCCTGGACAGGTGGGTTTGGACAGAAAAAGTAAAATTCCACAAGTTCTACAGCCTGCCTGTGGAGGGTGGGGGGCGCAGGGGAGGACCCGGATTATCATCTAATCTTCTAAGCTATCTAACGTTCTTTTCTTTTTTTTATATTGTTGGGGATTGATTGACGGTACAAAAAACCAGGTTACACTGATTGCATTTGTTAGGCAAAGTCCCTCTTATAATTGTGTCTTGCCCCCCAAAGGTGTGTTGCACACTGAGAGCCAACCTCCCACACTCCTCTCTCTCTCTGCTTTCCCCTGCCCCCTCCCACCGTGTACTAGGTCATTAATTGTCCTCATATCCAAACTGAGTACATAGGATTCATGCCTCCCCATTTTTATGATGCTTTACTAAGAATAATGTGTTCCACTTCCATCCAGGTTAATACAAAGGATGCAAAGTCTCCATCTTTTTTAATGTCTGAATAGTATTCCATGGTGTACATATACCACAGCTTATTAATCCATTGCTGGGTTGGTGGGCATTTAGGCTCTTTCCACATTTAGGCGATTGTAAATTGAGCTGCAATAGTCTAGTTCAAGTGTCCTTATGATAAAAGGATTTTTTCCCTTCTGGGTAGATGCCCAGTAATGGGATTGTAGGATCAAATGGGAGGTCTAGCTTGAGTTCTTTTCCATACTTCCTTCCAAAAAGGTTGTATTAGTTTGCAGTCCCACCAGCAGTGTAAAAGTGTTCCTGTCTCTCCACATCCACGCCAGCATGTGCAGTTTTGAGATTTTCTGATGTGGGCCATTCTTGCTAAGGTGAGATGATATCTCAGGGTGGCATTTCTCTAATAATTAGGGAAAATGAGCATTTTTTCATATGTTCGTTCACCATTTGTCTGTCTTCTTTAGAGAAGGTTCTATTCATGTCTCTTGCCCACTGATATATGAGATTGTTGGCTTTTTTCATGTGTATTAATCTGAGTTCTCTATAGATCCTAGTTATCAAACTTTTGTCTGATTCAAAATATGTAAATATCCTTTCCTATTGTGTAGGTTGTCTATTTGCTTTGGTTGTTGTCTCCTTAGCTGTACAGAAGCTTTTCAGTTTAAGTCTCATTTATTTTTGTTGTTGTTGCAATTGCCACAGCATTCTTCTTTATGAAGTCTTTCCCCAGGCCAATATCTTCTGGTGTTTTTCCTATGCTTTCTTTGAGGATTTTTATCATTTCATGCCTTAAATTTAAGTCCTTTATCCAACCTGAATCAATTGTTGTGAGTGGAGAAAGGTATAAGTCCAGTTTCAGTCTTTTACATGTGGATATCCAGTTCTCCCAGCACCATTTATTGAATAGGGAGTCTTTCCCCCCAGTGTATGTTCTTGTTTGGTTTATTGAAGATTAGGTGGTAGTAAGATGTTAGTTTCATTTCCTGGTTTTCTATTTAATTCCAAATGTCTATGTCTCTATTTTTGTGCCAGTACCATGCTGTCTTAAATGGTTTGCTAATGCCCCTGGCTTTGTTTTTATTTCTAAGAACTGCCTTAGCTATATGAATTTTCTTCTTAGAGATCCTTCACTTCTTGTTAGGTATATTCCTAAGTATTTCATTTTCTTTGAAGCTATGGTAAAGGGAGTTGTGTCTTTAATTAGCCTCTCATCTTGGCTGTTACACAAAGGCTACTGATTTGTGGATATGTATTTTATATCCTGAGACATTACTGTATCTTTTGATGACTTCCAGGAGTCTGTGGTTGAGTCTTTGGGGTTCTATTAGTATAAGATCCTAATGTTCTTTTTAATAAAACTATGTTCTGTGGCCTGCAAAAGTATTCTGAAAAATAACGTCATTAGAGTAAATATTCTACTACCTACAGGGACAATTTTGAGGTGACTAAATCAATCTACACATGTACATGTTGAATTTTTTTCAAATTCTTACATTATGGCACATCACATACTCCATAATTCCCTTCACTGATCTCGGGGCTACAGCAACAGGAAAAGGAAAAAACTACCCAAGGACTCTATTTAATTAACCCTGCCGAGTGCCCAGGGTACTAATAAAAGTTGACACATAAATTACCAAAGCAAGAGATTTTTATTTATCACCTCAGTAGAGATGTAAAGCTTTTGTACTGGGAACTATATTAAAAAAAAAAAAAAATCTTGGAAACAAAATCTACACAAAAGGCATTTATCCTCAACTTCTAATTTTGAAAGAAATTAAAGGCAGGCAGCAAACACCACAGACATTCCCATCCATCTACCTGTGTGTCCTTCACTACACACCGTGAGCATGTCACAAAGCTATCACACTAGATTTCTAACAAGGCCACACACTATGCCAAACCCACCCTCACTAGCTTTTCAACGAAGACACTTCTGAGATCAACTAAAGCACTGGGAGGAAAAGCATCTCCCACCTGAATAAAATCCCATGTGGTACACTGCTTCCTAGATGACATTCTCCTAAAACTTGATATCCAACACCCGACAGAAAGTGTGCATCTTGGCTCGGTGCCTGTGGCTCAAGTGGCTAAGGTGCCAGCCACATACACCTAAGGTGGTGGGTTAGAATCCAGCCCGGGCCC